CGCACCAAACATTAACGACAGAATCAAATAGTAACTAGTTACATTTAATGAGTGAATTTTTGGAAAAAAGTGTACTCTTAGGGGTATTTTTACTACGCTGTACTTTTGACTTTTACTCAAGTTATTTTATTATGAAGTATCTCTACTCTTACTAGAGTAAAATGTCTGGATTCTCTACCCACAGTGAGCAACTTCTCTGATTGAAGAACAAACATGTTTTAACCAAAATTTGCCAGACACACACCTGCAATTTCTGTTAGTGTTTTTGTTGTTTGTTTGTTTGGTTTTTTAAATTGATTTGGGAAAAAAATTGTTAGGGTTTCAGTTTTCTGTTTATTTTTGGGTTTTTATGTGTTTATTGTGATCCTGTTCCCTGTGCGTCTCTGTGATGTCCTGTCCTCCCTGTTGATTGATCCCAACTGTGTCTAGTTTTCCTGATTACCCTCCCTGTGTATTTAAACCCACCTGTTGTCTTTGTCTCTTGTTGGATCCTCGTTGAATGTCATTTGTCTGCCTGCCATCACAGTCGTCCTGTGTTGGTTAGCTCTCTTATTCAGTTTTCAGTTGCTACTGATAATTAGCTGTCTGCTAAACTCTCTGCCGTGCCGCCTGTGTTGGACTGTGTTTGAGTTCTCTTTATTAAATCATCTTCATCATCATCACCATCATCTGGGTCTCAGCGTTCATTCTCGCCACTACAAACTCACCACTGATAAAAATATTTTGCCAGATTTTATTTAGTAATTGTTATTGATATTAATTATTTTGGCCTTTATAATACCAGCATTTCCACATAACTTTATATTTTGGTCTGTCTGATGATGTACTTTTTAAATATTGAATGGTTATTTTTTCTTTATCAGTTACTAAGTACTTTAGACTTTTTACCAAACACTTTTTCACTCATACTCAAGTAACTTTTGAACGGCTACTTTTTCCTTTTACTAGGGTTAAAATATGTTTCTAAATAAGTAGTTGCTACTCTTACTTGAATAAAATCTTTGGGCACTTTGTCACCTCTGGACTTGATCAAGTGGAACTATGTGGAAATATGTTAACAGTTAAATACATCAGGAGTTACTAAACTAGCACTTGCCTCCACTTCCAGTCCGTTTTGTAAAGATTTTCTTGCCCTAGTGGTTGTTAGTCTTTAGCAGCTGGGTGGAAAGAGGAGCAGGAAATGTGCAGGAATCACAGATGGGAAAGCTGCATATCCTGCTCCTGCTCCACCACTGACTCATTTCAAGCCTTTCTTTAAAGCTTTACTGGGAAGAGGAACATAAAATATGTCAAATATCAAGATTAACATAACAAAGGAGAGGGAACCAAAGATGTAGGAAGGATTACAGCTTTAATACATATGTTTCTATTGACTACGCACAAAACCAGAGGAACATGTTATTGAAATAGAGGTTTTACTGAAGATGTTCAGAATTGAGAAAATAAAAAGTTTTACATATAAAACAAATCCAGTGAAGTTTGCAGAGTAAGCCAAACATCAATACACTCTTCCAGCAAATTGGTTTAAATATGTATTTTTTGTATAAATACAATAAACTTCATCCACAACATGGAGACATAGACTCTTTAACTTCATCTCCAAAGGAGAAAAGAAGCTAGAACAAATGGACTTGTCATTCAGAGACTTGTAACAGTAACATGATGTGAATCAGGAACATGTCTGCCACAAAACACAGACTGAACAGCAATGTGTTGTAAATCATAAACTATGGTAAACATTGTGATTTTCTGTTCTCTGCGTTTGCCCTCATGGTTGCTTGTCCTTACAAACAAATAAAAAATATATTTTTTGTATATTTGCACTGCAAAAAGTAAACATGCCACTTCCTGTGGTTCTCTCAGAGCGATGATAACAATAGAGTTGTCATCAGTGGGATACAGTGTGTGTAATTTGTTGAGAACAATTTCGTCTACGTTATTTATTTCTGAATGTATTTAATACTAAGGTGAACAAGTTGTTTCTTGCAGACAGATGGTTTGTAATAACAACACAAAGGTGCACAAAAACACTGCAGTAACCAGAACATCCAGAGCTTGTTTCTTTTATTTCCATTTGTCCCGGCCCCTGTCATCTCTGTCCAATGGGAGCAATGGTCATCACCGGTATGGCTTTGTTTATAAATTATAGTCTGCTTGCAAAGAAGCAAAATTTGAATACAAATCGCACCAAGCAAAAATAACACAGTCCGCTATTGGTTCACACCAAACAAACGGACCAAAAGACCGTCCTGGTGTGAATCAGCCAGCACTCTTCAGTTCCACAGAAGAATCTCCATCTAATATTTAAATCAGAGCTACAGTCATGCCTCATGGAGATTTATTTGTTCCAATAATTTGAAAGATCTCTTCCCAGGAAGGTGACCTGCCTTCAATAAAAATCTTTTATTTGTACTGTAATTTGTTGTGAGTGTGTGTCAGTAGATTTCATGACAGATGAGCAGAGAACACAAATGAGTATTTGTTTGTCTGCTTCCTCTTTCTCCTAAAAGAATAATATACATGTTATCCAACTTCCTTCAGAGCTAAAACATTTCACCTGCCCTCTGCTTTGGTGTCGTTACATCAGATTTTCTCTGGATTCTTTTCATGAAAACAGCAAGGTCTCCACAACATACAGAGGTAGGCTACTATTATATTTTTCTCCAAACCTCTTAGTATACGCTAGTAACAGAACTAAACAAATATTCAATCCGCTTTTACTGTTACAATAAATGTAGTCAACATTATGCTTCAGAGATTGTTGGACCAGAAATGCAGACCAGTCGAGGCAGAAAATTGGTGATAAAAAGTTTAGTAGCAAAAAAGATAAGAGCTAGCTTACAAACATTTGAGGAAAACCAGGAATGATGATTAATGACAAAATCCATGAAGTAATGAGAAAAGGAGAGGTGGTTAACTACTGGTAGCTTGATTACCTCACAGTGGACTGGTACTAGTTAGAAAACAGGGTGCAGCTGTGAGGCGAGTCCAGAGAACAGGGGGAGAAAGAGAGAGAGATGAAGGGAAGAACTGAAATCTAAGTGGAATAAAGAACAACTTAGAATCGAGTGATCCAAAGTATCCTGGTTAAAAGCCAGCCACTTGTTCTACACTTTGCTTAGTACAGAGAGTCTGGACCTTTGACTATGGAGAAACAATTACTTGCTGGAGCCATGGAGCCTGATTAGATTTGATTTTACGCAATCACTAACATTTGGACGTGATGTATTTAATTCACTATCTTGATGTTAATGTATGCTGCACTATGAGGTTTACTGAAAATGTATGCTGGGGCGTTGGGTGGCATAGTGGGTAGAGTAGATGCCAGGTATGCGGAGGCTTTAGTCCTCATCGAGGTGGTCCTGGGATCAACTCCTGACCTTGGCACCTTTACCAGATATCTCCACTAGGGATTGCAACAACTAGTTGTTGATTCTTTGCCCTGCAAAGACTTTTTACATGCCTAATTGACCAGTAGCAATCATGAAAAAATGATTGCACATCAGCATAAATGTCTGACATTAAATAGTTTGAAATGATGATCTTGGAACCTGTAGTTGTTTAGAAATTGCTCCAAAATTTACACAAATTGTGTAAATCTCCAGCTCTCTTGCACACTGAGTTTCCTGCACTGGACTTTCCTCTTATTTTGTAATAATTAATCTGGTGTCTGCCATCAATCAAGTAATATGTTGTGCTGTCAAATAACAGTTATTAGACTAGTTATGCCACTTTAAAATTCCCTAAAACTGCTTATTAATTAGAAAATACAAATACACCAGACATGAGTCTAGGAATTCCAACTTGTTTTCACTAAAAGATTATCCAGTATGGACTGAAACTTTGAGACCACACTGCCACACCAAAACAAGCTCAGCCAGACACACTTCTTTCAAACCAAAACTGTACATGCTGCCCAAAAGAAGTTGGTCTGTCAGCAATCTCCTCCAGCTAGTTTTGTAGTGTGAATGTGTGTCTTGCCCTGGTAACACTTCAACCAGCTCCAACCCAGTCTCATCTCCACCTACTCCTCATCAACAGAGTCCAGCACATAACAGCCACCACCTCCAAACATTGTTTTGTCTTCTACATACCCAGCATGTGTCACTGAGCTGGTCAATGCTTTGCTTCAATAGACTGTCATACTCTGAAAAAACTATTGTCTGGCATTACCACAGACAGTTAAACAGACTTATGAACCTCAATTTGGTTTACGTAATGCAATGATGTATTTGTCTCCATTCTGATGTTTTAAAAAGTACTTGACATTTCGCTTTTATTTCAGGACTCCCTTTGAGTTTCTGAATGTGGGATCAATGTTTCAGCTGACTGTCGAATCTTTATACCCGATTACAGTCAACATGTACGATAGCCAGTACAGCGTAAAACAGACTCTCTGGGCTTTGTTGATGATTGTTCTACAACTGTGGCAGTTTTTTAGATTACAAAAGCTAACTTGAAGTACCGTCCTGTTCATCAAACATCTACATATTTGCATCTATCTGCATTACCAGGAACTCCTCTTTGTTTTCACTTTAACCTGAAGCTTCCTCTGGAACTAATTGCTTCCCCTGCTGTTTATTTGTTGATACAATCACCAGATATTTACTGTTTAAGGATACTTGTTTCTGAAAGGGCTCCATGTATACACGGTAAATTCATAAGCACAATTTCACACAACCTTATACTGGGTAAGGTAAATGCTCTAGGGCTTCTTAAATAATATTTTGTGTAATCTGTCTTCACTCAATGTGAGCTCATTTGTCTCCTTGTCTAAAAGGAACATTTGTTTTAAATTTCACTCTGTCTTATTTATATACTCCATTTTATTGCTTAATCCAGAAATCTCACAATGTAGTTTGAGGTAAGACATTTAAATTTATGTGTAAGAAAATGTTTGGAGAATTCTAATGGGATTTTTTTGTGAAACTGTGTTCTCAGTGATGGTCTAACAGAAGTGGAAGGTTCTGGGATGTGGATGTTCTTGAAACCTAAAAAGCTTTTATACAGATTATCTTTGCCTCACAGGATGAAGTTCTGGGTGACTTGGTGGGTCGTATTTTGTTTTACGTGCCTTTATACTGCCGGT